ATGTATAACAAAATAATATAAAAAATAATAATGTAGATTAATATATAAATACATATAAATACGAGAGAACTAAACATATAAATATATATAATAATATATAAAAACTATTTTGTATGTAATAAAATTATTATTTAACAAAATATATATTTAAACAATATATATAAAACAATATAATATATATTTACATATAATATACAGAAATTATTTAATGTATAGTAAAATTATATATGTAAACAATATACATAAATAAATATATATTTAGAAAAACACATACATTTCTACATATATATATATATAAATATCCTGAGCCCCCCAAAATATTTTGGGTATTCAGTAGTTGTTTAGATAAAAGCACTCTGTAATCACCTGTAAATTGTGGTGTACATTTGGCAGCCATGCCACAATAAATACAAACAAACACACATTTTCTAACTTTAGGCTGTCAAAGAGTTTTTGTCGCTCACAGCTAGATATTGGTACTACATCAATATCCATATTTTGGTACTAGATTAATATCCACATTTTCAATAAATCAAACCCACCCAGGTTCTCCTTCAGCAGCCACGTCAGCACCGAGTCCCGGTACGGGATGAACTCCGGCTTCTTCTTCTTGCTGGTCTGCCCGGGAGGATGAGGAGGGTGGTGAGGAAGGTCGTGAGGGGTCCCCAGAAAAAGGAGGGGACCCCCCCGGGGGTGGGGGACCCCAGACTCACTGCCTCGGCCAGGGCAGAGATGACCTTGCCCAGCGTGGTCAGGGACTTGTTGATGTTGGCGCCTTCCTGGGGAGGAGGAGGAGGGGAGGAAGGCTCAGGAGGGCTCTGGGGATGCAGAGGCCCCCTCTTTTTTGGGGGTCCCAGCCCCTCTTTTTTGGGGGTCCCAGCCCACCTTGAGGCGGATGCCCTTGGCCCCCGAGGCGTCGGCGCGTTCGCTGCCCGCCAGGTCCACCAGGGAGATGCGGCTGACCTGCGGGGATTTGGGGGAAATTTGGGGCTGTTTGCGGAATTCTGGGGGTGATTTGAGGGAGCGGAGAGAATTGCGGAGTGCTGGATGAAGATAACGGCGAATTTTGGGGGGATTCAGGAGATTTCAGGGTGATTTTTGGGGGATTTCAGGAGGGATTTCAAGGGACTTTCAGGGGATGATTTCAGGGCGATTTTAGCGGGATTTCAGGGTGACCCAGAACTGGTGTGGGATGGATTTGGAGGTCACTCCAGGCCCCCCCGACCTTCTCAGTGGCCAGCTCGCTGAGCGGGTCCTGGCGGCGCTGGCTGAACACGATGCTGAACACGGCGTGCGAGCGGCTGCTGGTCTCGTTCATGTTGGTGGCCGCCACCGTCCTGCAGGGGACCGGGACGGGACCCTCGGTGCCTGGGGGTGGTTCTGGGGGGTCCAGGCCGCCCCCACACCCCGCCCTGCCCACACCTGGCCTTGTTGCCGCTGTCCATGAGGTCGGCGATGTCGGCGAAGGAGGCCACGGCCAGGCGGGACAGGTCCTGCACGTAGGGCCCGAGCAGGGGGTGCTCCCGCACCCGCAGCCCCCCGCGGCTCTTGGGGTTCAGCAGGTCCCGCACGCGCTCGCAGTAGATCTCCAGGTAGCTCACCTGGGGGGGAGACAGGCTCAGGAGGGACCCCAAAACTCAGAGGGGGTCGGGGGTGAATGATCCAAACTGGGGGGCAAATCGATGGGGATTTTGGGGGGATGTCAGGGGTGATTTCAGGGGGGTTTCAGGGGGTGATTTCAGGGGGGAATCCCCAAAATGGTGACAGGGGAAACTCCCAAAGTCCTCAGCTGAGTCCCCAAAATGTTGGGGTGGCTGAGCCCCCAAAATGTTGGGGTGGGTGTCAGATGAACCCCCAAACTGTTGTGGGGGGCGTCTGGTGACTCTGCAGGACTCAGCGTCTGAACTTTGGCGTCTGAGCACCCAAATTGCCCAAGCGGGGGTGTCTGCAATCCAGGGGTCACGCTCTGACCCCCCAAACCCCCCTGACCCCCCCCCAGAGCCCATGAGACCCTCCCCAAACTCACCTCCACAGAGAACGACAGCTCCGGCGACCCCTCCCGAGCCATGCGGGCGAACAGATCCTCGCAGAGCTGCGGAGAGGAGGAACCTTGAGCCGGGATCCGGGGGGGCTCCAGCCCTTCCCGAGCCCCCCCGGGAGCCCCCCCAGCCCCCGGACCTGCGGGATGATGCCGCGCTGCCCCGGCTCCTGCCGCCCCATCATGGTGTAGGACTTGCCGGCGCCCGTCTGGCCGTAGGCGAGGATGCAGACGTTGTAGCCCTCGAAGGCATGGGCCAGCATCTCCTCGCCGATGTCCTGGTACACGCGGCGCTGCGAGGCGAAGTTGGGGTCCTCCTCCTGCGGGGGGGGACACTCAGGCACCAGCCCCTCTTTTTTGGGGTCCCAGCCCCTCTTTCTGGGGGTCCCAAACCCTCTTTTTTGGGCTCCGAGTCCCCCAGAGCCCCCCGAGCACTCACCGAGGTGTGGGACCAGTAGGAGTAGTCGAAGGTGAAGTGTTTGGTGCCGTCCTTGGGGAGCTTGGGGTTGGTGATGCCTGTGGGGTGGGGGGGGTGACACCGGCGTTGGGGTGACCCCCGCACATCAGCCTCACCCCCCCCCAGCACCCTCACCCCCCCCAAAACCCTCCCCGTTGCTATTTTTAGCCCAGGGCAGCTGCACTCCGGGCCCGGGGCCAGCACAGGACAAGGACGGGGACAAGGGGGGGGGGTCCCATATCGTGATTCCCCCCACCCCTCACCCCTGGGGGTCCCTCCCCTGGCCGGACACCCCCTCCGGGACGCCCCCCACTCACAGGTGGTGTTCCCCCGCATCTGGATGACACACTTGGCCTGGCGGCTGCTCTCCCTGGCGCTGAAGGGCCGGACCCGCACCGCCACCTTCACCGAGGCGCCCGCCATGCCCGCGACAGCCTCAGCCTGTCGCGACAGAGCGGCGTCACCGCCCCCTCCCCTCCCGTCACCGCCACCCCTCGGCCAGGTGTGTGTGCCAGGTGTGTGTGCCAGGTGTGTGTGCGACCCCCGGGAAGGGCAGGGCAGGGCAGGGCAGGGCAGGGCAGGGGGGCTCCGTGTCCCTCCCCCGGTGCCGCCCAAGGACAGCCCTAAAAATAAACCCGGGGGCGGTTCATAAAAAAACCCCCCAATAAATAATAAAAAACCCAAATAATAACTAAAAACTAATAAAAATTAATAAAAATAAATATATATAAAATCTAAGAAACACAAATATAAAAATATAAATATATAAAAATATATACAAATGCGGACAAATACATACATATATAAATATAAATTATGTATACTTACAAAATAAAATAAAAATAATAAAATTTAAAAGTAAAATTAATAATAAAATAATGAAGACAAAAATAATATATATAAGCATTTAAATGCAACTATAAACACGATAAATATAAGTATATAAATATATAAATATATAAATATATAAATATATAAATATACATATACACTTATATTTATATATAAATACAAATTATATATAAATATAAATATATAAAATCAAATAAGAATAATAAAAATTTTTAAAAAATAGGAAATAAAACCGGGGGAGGGGGTGACCAAAGAGCCCCCGGTCCCAACCCTCCCCAGCGCACCCCAAAATTCAGGGGGAGCCCCGGCAGGGTCAGAGGTCAGGGATGGGGGCACAGGGAGGGATTTGGGGCAGGGGGGTGCGATCCCTCCCTGGGTTCCCCCCCTCAAATCCCAGGTGACTCCAGGTCAGCATAAACAGCACATGACACCCCCGAGCGTCACTGAGACCCCGGGACGCCCCAAATCCCCTTCCCACACCCCCAGGACCCCCAAACCCGCCCCTACTCCCCTGTGAGCCCCCCGAATTTGCTCCCCGACCCCCGACACCCCCCAAGCTCTCGCCGTTCCCGCTCACCGGCCCCGCGGTGCCGCATCCCCTCGGCCCGGGGGTGTCCGGGGGGTCCGAGGGGGGCCCGGGGGTGTCCCGGGGAGTTCCCGGGGGGTTCCGAAGTTTTCCCGGTGGTTCCCGGCGGTTGCCGGCGGTTCCCAGCGGTTCCCGGCCGTTCCCGGGGTGTTCCGAGGGGGTCCCGGGGAGTCCTGGCGGTTCCCGGGGGGTTCCCGGGGGTGTTCCGGGGGTACCTGAGGGGTTCTTGGGGAGTTCCGGAGGGTTTGTCGGGGGTTCCGGGAATGTTCCGGAGGTTTCCCGGTCGTTCCCGGGGCTCCGTGGCGGCTCCGGGGCTGCGGCCGCGCCCGGGCCCGGCGGGGCGGGGCTGGGCCGGTCCGGGGCCGGGGCCTGGGGCGCGGCGCGAGGGGCGGGGGTCGATGCCCCGCCCTTTCTTAAAAGGGCAACGCTGTACAGATGGGGCCCACATCTGGAGCGGCTTTTCCCGCGTTTTTACCTCAGGATTTCCCCCTCATGTTTCTCTCTCCTTTTTCCCTCAGGGTTGTGTTTTCCCCATTTTTTAACTCACTTTTGTCTTCTTGTGAAATGATTTCCTCCATTTTCTTTTAGTTTTTTTCTTTCTCTTTTCTTTGTAAATACTGTAGGTTTCCCTACATTTTTTTTCGCCCAGAAAGACTCCAAATCCTTAAAATGGCCCCAAAAAGACAGCCCCTAAATCCTCAAAATGGCTCCAAAATCGCCTCAAGAAAGTTCATTTTCAGTACTAATAGTATTTATCATGCAGTTGGAATCCTTATTTCAGAGTTGTGTAGTCTGAGAGTACAACTGGTGATATAACCGTAAAGTTTATTGTGTTGGCAGGACAGAACGCGTGTGATTCGCCCATACAATCATAAAAAAGGGAGTGACAGCGAGAGAATTGCACAATTTAATTAACAAAGTTCATCGCGCCACATCGCCCCGCCCACACGACCCCGAATGCCCCCACCCCAACCACGCCCCTTTATGCGCTAACCACGCCCTCTCCCGGCGGCGCGCTGACCACGCCCCCTTGCGCACTGACGTCAGGCGCCGGCGGCGCTGGCCCGCGGCGGGCGGGAAGATGGCGGCGGGCGGCGGGGGCGGGGGCGGCGGCGGCGGCGGCGGCCCTGAGGCGCCAGGTGGGGCCGGGGGGGCCGGGGCGGAGCCGGGGGCGGGGCCGGGACCGTGTGGGGCGGGGATGGGGGTTGGGGGGGGTTCCGATGGGGGGGGGCCGCTGTGGGGCGGAGATGGGGGGGCGGTGGGCGGGGCTTGGGGGGGCTGTGGGGAGGAGATGTGGGGGGCAATGGGGCAGAGATGTGGGGGGCAGTGGGGCAGAGATGTGAGGTGCCATGAGCGGGGGATGTGGGGGGCAGTGGGGCAGAGATGTGGGGGGCAGTGGCACAGAGATGTGTGGGGCGATGGGGGAGATATGTGGGGCGCGATGGGCAGGGGATGTGGCGTTACAGTCCCCTGTCGCCCCGTTGTCCCCATCAGCTGTTTTTGGGGGTCCCTGATCCCCTGTCCCCCCGGTGTCACCCCGCAGTCCCCCACCCCGTCAGCCATTTTGGGGGTCCCTCCACTGTCCCCCACCCTGTCACCCATTTATTTTGGGCGTCCCTGCAGGTTGCAGCCCTTGCTGTGCCCCCCTCGGGGAGCCCTGAGGGCCCCACACGCCCCCCGAGATGAGCAGCAAGGACCCCCCCGAGGTCTCAGGTGAGGGCAGGGGGACACGGTGGGGGGACACAGGGGACACTGGGGGGGTGCTGGGGACAGGGAGGGGACACAGGTGACACCGAGCCCTCCTCCCAGCAGAGAGGGGACACCTGAAGGTTTTCCTGCCCCGGAAGCTGGTGGAGTGTCTGCCCAAATGTCCCGTGCTGCCCAAGGAGCAGCTGCGCTGGAACACCAACGAGGTGGGCACTGGGGGGCACGGGAATGGGGATGGGGGTGGGAGGGATGTGGGGTGGGCAGGAGGGACTTGGAGACATGGGAGGGGATGTGGAGGCGCAGGAATGGGGATGGGAGGGACTGGAGCTGTGGGGACACAGAAGGGCCATCAAAGGGACACAGGAGGGGGCTTGGCTGAGGATGGGGGCAAAATGGGGGACAGGGGCAGGACAGGGGACACCAAGACCACGGGACAGCAGGGGTGGCACAGCAGACTGGTGCAGGGGCTGAGGGACAGGGTACACAAATTTGTCACTTGTCACCTGTCCCCCTCCCCAGGAGATCGCCTCGTACCTCATCACCTTTGAGAAACACGACGAGTGGCTCTCGTGCTCCCCCAAAACCAGGTCTGGGGATGCCCTGAGGGGCTGGGGGTGGCCTGGGGGCTCCCGGGGGGCTCCCGGGGACCCCCTGACCCCGTGTCCAGGCCGCAGAACGGGTCGGTGATCCTGTACAACCGGAAGAAAGTCAAGTACCGCAAGGACGGCTACTGCTGGAAGAAACGCAAGGATGGCAAAACCACCCGCGAGGACCACATGAAGCTGAAGGTGCAAGGAGTGGAGGTAGGGGGACCCCAAACACAGCCTCCCCCCTCCCCAAAAAACCCCCTGGTGTCCCACAAAAAGCACCCATTGCCCTAAAGGTGCTCATGGTTCGGGTATGGGCAGCTGGGGATGCAGCTGCGGGGGCCTCAGGACACACAAAGGGGGGACAGAGGGTGCTGGGTGCCCTCGAGCGACAGTTTTGGGGTGCTGGGGACACCCAGTGGGTGGTTTAGGTGGTCCAAGATTCCCAGTTGGGGGTTTGGGGGTGTTGGGAGATGCCCAAAATGGGGTTTGGGGGTGCCAGGACCAGCAGGGGGTGGTTTGGGAGCGTCTATCTCCTGCAGCCCAGGCAGCTTGAGAGTCTGGCTTGCATGTGAGATCCCACGGGCTGCAGGGACCCCCCAAAATCTGTCAGAGCCCCCCCAATCCCTGCTGTGTCCCCCCCCAGTGCCTGTACGGCTGCTACGTGCACTCGTCCATTGTGCCCACCTTCCACCGCCGCTGCTACTGGCTGCTGCAGGTAACTGGGGAGGGGGCCAGGACCCCCCCGGGACCCCCTGGGACCCTCCCAGGACCCCCCCAACCCGCTGTGCCCCCCCAGAACCCCGACATCGTGCTGGTGCACTACCTGAACGTGCCGGCCATGGAGGAGTGCGGCCGGGGCTGCGCCCCCCGGCTCTGCAGCCCCCCGCTCTGCTCGGGGGCCCCCCCGCTCTGCGACCCCCGCGAGTGGCTCAAGTGGTCCCAGGAGGAGCTGGTGGCTCAGCTGCGCCCCATGTGTGAGTGGGGGGCTGCCCTGGGGGGCTCTGCACCGGGGGGTTTGACCTCAGAGGGGCTGGGGCAGTGGGAGGGAGGGAGGGAGAGAGAGAGAGAGAGAGAGACCAAAATTCTCATTTTTTGGCAGATTTGTTGGTTTCTTTATGAAACTTTGCAGGGTAAAGTGGGGCTGGGGAGGGGGAGGACACCCCAAACCCAGTTCTAGAGGAATTTTGTGCTTTCCCACAGGATGGAGTGGGGTGGGGGCTCTGTGGGGCTGTTTTGGGGCGTCAGGGAGGGCGTGGCCCCCCAGCTCTACGTCTGAGGGGTTCCCCCCTCAGTCCTGCAGTCCATGGGGTGAAGTGGGGCTATGGCAATGGGGGGAAATCAGAGGGTGGGGGGCTCTGTGGGACTGTTTTGGGCAGGGGCTGCGGGGCTGTTTTGGGGGTCAGGGAGGGCGTGCCCCCCCCCAGCTGTGTTTCTGAGGTGTTTCCCCCCCGTCCCGCAGTCCATGGGGTGAAGTGGGGCTGTGGCAATGGCGGGGCCGCCCCCGGGCTGTCCCTGGAGCAGCTGGTGCAGCACGTCCTGGAGAGGCACCAGGCCCGGCCGCCCCCCCGCACCCACGCCTGCCTCTGCGCCGGGGGGCTGGGTGAGACTGACCCCCCGGGACCCCCGAAATCCCGGGGAACCCCCCAAAACCCCAGGGGAACCCCCGGGGAACTTCCCGCGACCCCTAAAACCCCTGGGGAACCCCCCCAAAACCCCGGGGAATCCACTGGGACCCCCAGAATCCCTTGAGAATCCCCCAACACGCCAGGGAACCCCCCGGGACCCCCAAAGAGACCCTGGGACCCCAGAGCAGCCCCCTTGTGACCCCAAAATCCCACTGTGACCCCAAAATCTGCTGCCACCCCAAAATCCTCATGTGACCCCCAAATCTGCCCCCCGCTAACCCCCCCGTTTTGCCCCCCCAGGCACCCCCGGCCATAAATGCAGCAGCACCAAGCACCGAATCATCTCCCCAAAATTGGAACGGGCGGGGGTCGCCGCCCCCCCTGGGGACCCGCACCCCAAACCTGCCCCCTCCTCCCCGGACACCACCCAGCCCTCCCCGGCGCCCCCCGAGGGACCCCCGCGACCCTCCCCATTTCCCCCCTCCTCCTCCTCCTCCTCCTCCTCGGCGGGTGCTGGGGGGGCTCTGCCCCTGCTGGTGGTCGCCAATTTAGGGGGTGGGGGCGCGGCGGCGCCGGGGGGTCCCGAGCAGCCCCTGGGGCTGACCCCGAGCCAGCACCTGGTGGGGACCCCCGAGGGGTCGTGCCCCACGGCGCCGCCCCCGCTGCAGCCCCCCGCCGCTGCCTTCGACCCCGACTGCTTCCTCAACAGCCCCCGCCGCGGGCAGACCTACGGCTGCGAGGCCGACCCCCCCCCTGGCGCGCCCCCCCCGGCCCCCCCAAGCCTGCAGCAGGAGGAGGAGGAGGAGGAGGAGGGAGAGGAGAAAAGAAAGCGGGGGGCTGCAGCCCAGGACCCCCTCCCCGCCGCCGCGCCCCCTCCCCAGCCCGCCTTCCCCCTGCCCTTCCCCGAGCTGCTGCTGGGGGGCGGGGGCGACACGGGGGGGGTCCCCCCGACCCTGCGCGACGCCCCCCACGCCCCCCCCCCTCACCAGCTCCCCTCCTCCCCCTCGGGCCCCCCCAGCGACCCCCCCCCCGCCGTGGCCATCACCGATTTCTCCCCGGAGTGGTCGTACCCCGAGGTGAGCGATTTGGGGAGGGGGTGCTCTCCCCCAGACCCCCCTCCTGCCCACCTCGGGGGTCCCCGGTGACCCCCCCGGTGTGCCCCCCCCTCCAGGGCGGGGTCAAGGTGCTGATCACGGGGCCCTGGGGGGACCCCGGTGCCTCCTACTCGTGTCTGTTCGACCGCACCTCGGTGCCCGCCGCGCTGGTCCAGCCGGGCGTGCTGCGCTGCTACTGCCCCCGTGAGTGCCCCCCGCCCCATTTTCCCGCTGCGCCCCCTCCCCACGGGGGTCTGCCGGTGCTCTGACCCCCCCTCTCCGTGTCCGTGTGTCCGTCCGCAGCCCACGAGGCCGGCGTGGCCGCCCTGCGCGTGGCCTGTCCCCCCCAGCTGCTCTCGGCCGCGGCCCCGTTCGAGTACCGGGCACGGGGGGCGGCCCCCGGGGCACAGCTGGACTGGCTGGCGCTGGACGGTGAGTGGGGGCCCCCGGGACCCCCCCAGAACGGGACAGACCCAAACACCTGGGTTCATTTTGGGGTCCTGCTGTGGCGACCCCAGACCCGCCCCTCTCTCCGTGGAGCGACGCTCTTTGGGGTCAGGGCGTTTGGGGAGGCTCTGTCTGTCAGGGCGCCCCCCTCACCCTGTGCCCCCCGCTCTGCAGAGGCCCAGTTCCGTCTGTCCATCCTGGAGCGCCTGGAGCAGCTGGAGACGCGTCTGGGGGCCCTGCCCCCGCCACGGGGGGCTCCCTCTGAGACCCCCCCCGAGCAGGTGAGGCCATCCCTGGTCCTCTGTGTCCCCTGATGTCCCCAGATGTCCCCACTGTGCCCCTCACGTCCCCTGACATTCCCTGATGTCCCCACTGGGTCCCTCATGTCCCCTGACATTCCCTGATGTCCCCACTGGGTTCCTCATGTCCCCTGATGTCCCCACAGTGCCCCCCCTGTCCCCTGACATTCCCTGCTGTCCCCAGGGGCCGGGCTCCTCCTTCGAGGCGCGGGTGGTGGCCGTCTGCGAGGCCATGATGGCGCGGCCGGGCTGGTCAGCGGGGACAGCGCCGGGGACAGCGGGCACCTCGCTGCTGGCGCACGGGGTGACGTTCCGTGGGATGACTCTGCTGCACCTGGCGGCTGCCCAGGGCTACGCCAGCCTGGTGGAGGCTCTGCGGCGCTGGCGGTGAGCAGGGACACCTGGGGACACCTGGGGCAGTGTCCCCAAGCAGAGGTGACCCTCGTCAGCCTGTGTCCCCTCCTGTCCCTGCAGGGCGCTGGCAGTTGAGAGCCTGGAGCTGGAGCAGGAGATCGACCCCCTCAACGTGGACCATTTCTCCTGCACCCCCCTGGTGAGGGGACACTGGGGACATTGGGGACACTGTGGTGGTGGCACTGTGGCAGGGCTGGCAGTGCATCCCAAGGTCATGGGGCACAGCGTGGTGTCTCAGGCAGGGCTGGGGGATACCAGGGGTGGCACCTGGACACAAGTGACACCCTGGGGACAGCGCTGTGCCCTCGTTGTCCCCAGATGTGGGCGTGCGCCCTGGGGCACCGGGAGGCGGCGGAGCGGCTGTGCCGCTGGGACCGGCGGGCGCTGGCCGTCCCCGACACCCTGGGCCGGCTGCCCCTGGCCCTGGCCCGTGCCCGCGGCCACCTGGCCCTTGTCACCCGCCTGGAGGAGCTGCAGGTGTCACCCGTGTCCCCTCGCTGCCACCTGCCCGGCCTGCGCGTCCCCTCCCCGCTGTCTGCCAGCCCCGACACAGGTATGGCCCCTTGTGTCCTCCCTGTCCTCTGGAACTCTGTCCTGGTGTCACTGTGTCCTGTCCCTGGTCACCACTCCCTGGTGTGGTTCCTGTCCCTTCACTGTCACTGTCCCTTCTCTGTCACTGTCACCATATCCTCCCCCATCCCCTTCTGTGTGCCTCCAGGGCCCCCTCCAGCCTTTTCCCCCTGTGTCCTCCCCATGTCCCCTGCTGTCCCCTGTCCTCCCCCAGCATCTTTGTGTCCCTGGGATGTCCCCATGGTGTCCCCTGTCCTCTTGCCATGTCCCATATGTCCCCCATGTCCCTTGTCCTCCTGCCATGTCCCCTCGAGGTGTGTCCCCCCATCACTAACCCCCCCGTTCCTGCCATGTCCCCGTGTCCCCAGGGCTGAGCACAGCCAGCAGCCTCTCGTCTCCCTCGGGGCTCTCCGAGGGTCCCGGCTCCGTCCCGCTGCCCCCCGGCCCCCCCGGGCCCCCTGACGATGACGCCTGGGGGGTGGCAGTGCCCCCCAGCCCCCCTGAGGACGCCCTGGCCCCGCCCTCTGACGCCCTGCAGGTAAAGGAGGGGGGATGGGGGGGGGCAGAACCCTGGTGTCCCCAGGCCGAGGTGGGGACACAGACCCCCGATGTCCCCCTGTGTCCCCAGGCCGGGGTGGTGACACCCCTGGGACAGACCCCCGATGTCCCCCTGTGTCCCCAGGCCGAGGTGGGGACACAGACCCCCGATGTCCCCCTGTGTCCCCAGGCCGGGGTGGGGACACCCCTGGGACAGACCCCCGATGTCCCCCTGTGTCCCCAGGCCGGGGTGGTGACACCCCTGGGACAGACCCCCGATGTCCCCCTGTGTCCCCAGGCCGGGGTGGTGACACCCCTGGGACAGACCCCCGATGTCCCCCTGTGTCCCCAGGCCGGGGTGGTGACACCCCTGGGACAGACCCCCGATGTCCCCCTGTGTCCCCAGGCCGAGGTGGGGACACCCCTGGGACAGACCCCCGATGTCCCCCTGTGTCCCCAGGCCGGGGTGGTGACACCCCTGGGACAGACCCCCGATGTCCCCCTGTGTCCCCAGGCCGGGGTGGTGACACCCCTGGGACAGACCCCCGATGTCCCCCTGTGTCCCCAGGCCGGGGTGGTGACACCCCTGGGACAGACCCCCGATGTCCCCCTGTGTCCCCAGGCCGGGGTGGTGACACCCCTGGGACAGACCCCCGATGTCCCCCTGTGTCCCCAGGCCGAGGTGGGGACACAGACCCCCGATGTCCCCCTGTGTCCCCAGGCCGAGGTGGGGACACAGACCCCCGATGTCCCCCTGTGTCCCCAGGCCGGGGTGGGGACACCCCTGGGACAGACCTCCGATGTCCCCCTGTGTCCCCAGGCCGGGGTGGTGACACCCCTGGGACAGACCCCCGATGTCCCCCTGTGTCCCCAGGCCGGGGTGGTGACACCCCTGGGACAGACCCCCGATGTCCCCCTGTGTCCCCAGGCCGGGGTGGTGACACCCCTTGTCCCTCGTCCCCAGGCCGAGGTGGTGACCCTGGCCCGCCAGATCATCGAGGCCACCCCCGAGCGCATCAAGCAGGAGGCGCCGGGGGGGCCCCCGGGGACACTGGGAGCACTGGGAGCACCGGGGGGGACCCCGGGCACAGCGGGGCCAGCGGGGCTGGGCGCTGCCATGGCCTGGCTGGCCACGTACCTGGAGAGCGTGGACCGGCCCCCTGCACCTGGGCACAGGTACCCCGGGCTGGGGGGGGTCCAGGAGGGTACCCCGGGCTGGGGGGGGCCAGGGGGGCACCCTCAGCTCCCCGGGGGGGTCACCCCCAGTCAGCAGCACCCCGAGAGGGTCTTGGGGATCCCCTTGGGAGGGCCCTGTGCTACTCCAGTGTCTCCGTGGGGGGGGGGGGAGTCTCCCACATCCTTCACACCCCAGAGTCCCCCCTGGGGGCACCCCCTGGTCCCTGGGTGACAGCCTGTGACACTCCTGGGTGTGTCCCCCCCCCACCGCCCATCCCCCTGACCCTCCTGTGCATGCCCCCCCCCCACAGGGCAGAGGTGGCCTCCTCGTGGGGGTCCCTGGGGACATTTGGTGACACTCAGATCTCAGATCCCCCCTCGTGTGTGTCCCACCCTGGGTGTGTCCGTCCCCGTCCCCCTGACCCTGCCATGTGTGTGTCCCCTCCCAGGGCAGAGGTGGCCTCCTCCTGGGACACCCTGGGGACGTTTGGTGACACTCAGATCCCCTCTCGTGTGTGTCCCACCCTGGGTGTGTCCCTCCCCATCCCCCTGACCCTGCCATGTGTGTGTCCCCTCCCAGGGCAGAGGTGGCTTCCTCGCGGGGGTCCCCGGGGGTCCCCGAGCGGCCGCCCCCCCCCTCGGCGGCGGGCTGGGCCGAGTTCCTGAACGCCTCCGGGGGGGCCCGGGGCGAGGGGGGGGCCGTGGCCCTGCTGACCCTCAGTGACCAGGAGCAGCACGAGCTCTACGAGGCCGCACGGCTCGTCCAGGGGGCCTTCCGCAAGTACCGGGTGGGTGCCCCCTCCCTGCACCCCAGAACGCCCCTGGGGCCCTCTGGGGAGTCCCCGGCACCCCAAATCCTCCCTGGGGGCTCCCTGGCACCCCAAAACACCCCTGGGGCCCCCCCGGGGGCTCCCTAGCTGACCCCCCAAACCCCCCCGGGTCCCCCCAGGGCCGGAGGCTGAAGGAGCAGCAGGAGCTGGCGGCCGCCGTCATCCAGCGCTGCTACCGCAAGTACAAACAGGTACCCCAAAACCCCCGGGACCCCTCCCAGGCACCCCCCAGAGCCCCGGGGACCCCAAACCCCCAGGGACCACGCAGAACCCCCCTAACCCTCTATCTCTGCCCCACAAGCTGACCTGGATCGCTCTGAAGGTAACGGGGGCCGTGTTGGGGTCACTCAGATGTTTGGGGCTGTTTTGGGGTCACCCAGGTGTTTGGGGTCACCCAGGTGTTTGTTTGGGGCTGTTTTGTGTTTTGGGGTCACCCAGGTGTTTTTGACGCAGGGGTGCTGTGACACTGGGGTGACAGTGAGGGGGCTGTGACACTGTGGTGACCCTGGTGACACTGGTGTCCCTTGCAGTTCGCGCTGTTCCAGTGGATGACGCAGGGGTGCTGGGTTACTGGGGTGACATTGGGGTAACTGAGGGTGCTGGGACACTGGGGTGACATTGGGGTCTCTGTTTGAGGGTGCTGTGACACTGTTGTGTCCCCGTGTCCCCCCCAGTTCGCGCTGTTCCAGCGGATGACGCAGGCCGCCATCCTGATCCAGAGCAAGTTCCGCAGCTACGCGGAGCAGAAGCGCTTCCAGCGCCGCCGGCGGGCGGCCGTGCTGATCCAGCAGCGCTTCCGCAGCCTCCGCCAGCACCGGTGCGGCCCGGGGGGCTCCCGGGGAGCGTGGGGGGCACGGGGCGGGGGGCACGGGGGTCTCACCTGCCCCCTCCGTCCCCCCCAGGAGCACCTTCCTCACCCTCAAGCAGGACCAGGCAGCGCGGAAGATCATGAGGTTCCTGCGGCGCTGCCGCCACCGGTAGGGGCACAGGGAGAGGGAGGGGACCGGGGAAGGTGTTCCCAGGGCTTTGGGTGCAGAGTCCCGAAAAAGCCTGATCCCACCCCAAATTTGCGTGTCCCTGGCCCAGGATGGAGGAGCTGAAGCAGAACAAGGACGTGGAGAGTTTACAGACGCGGGGCCTGGCCTCGTGACCCCCCCACGGGGTTGGGGGACCCTCAGTGCCCCCCCCACGGGGGGAGCTCCCCTCGCTGTCCGCCCTCCCCAGGTGTGTCCGTGTGTCCGGCTGTCCCCGTGGGGAGGGGCAGGAGGGGGCAGAGCCGCCCCGCGCCCCCTCCCCATCGTCTCCCGCCCCTCCCCCGCATGCCCCCTCCGCCCCCCCACACCCCGTGGGGGCTCTTTGTACAAAGTTCCATTAAAAAACAACGAGGAAGCGGGAATGGAAAATGCGGTGAGTTTGTGTTTGTGGGTGGGGAGGGGACACTGGGGGGACATGGAGGAGAGGGGACACTGGTGGGACACGGGGAAGGGAAGAAGGGAGGGAGGGGACATCGCTGGGGGAACATGGCGGGGAGGGGACACTGGGGGACATCGCTGGGGGCGCGGGAAGACCCCGCGGAGCTGGAGGTACGGGCCTTTTAAATACAGGCCACGCCCTCTGGCCAGACCACGCCTCCTAGGCCGGGCCACGTCCTCTGGCCTGCCACGCCCGTTCCTCGCTCCGCCCAGGCCCCTTCTACGTCCCCGGACGTGATGACGCAGGCGGACGCCGGGGACGTGTCCCGCGCGCGGCGGCGACGTTACGCTTCGCCCCGTCGCAAGATGGCGGAGCTGGACTTGCTGGGCTCCATCCTCAACTCCATGGAGCGGCCGCCCGCCGCGGCCGACGGCGAGACGCGGCGCCGGGCGCGGGGTCAGCAGGGCCAGGGAGGGCGCGGAGGCTCCGGGGCAGCGGCTCTGGGCGGGGAGCGGCGCGTCCCGGCCTTTCGCCCTCAGAACCCCCCCCCACCCCCGGCGCCCGCCCTCAGGCGAGGCCCCGCCCCCAGCGCCATTGGCACGCCCTCGCGGTGCTGATTGACAGCGGGGGCCGTCTGGCCACGCCCCCGCCATGTCCCCGTGTGGCGCTGTTGGTTGCAGGCCACGCCCACCGCAGGCCCCGGCCCTTCCGCCCCCCGAGAGTTTTTTGGGGGTCCCCTGAGGTTTTGGGGGTCCCCTGATGTGTTTTTGGGGTTCCCCTCTCCGTGACCCCCCCTGTTCCCCCCAGAACAAGCCGCTCGCATGAAGAAGCTGCAGGAGCAGGAGAAGCGCCAGAAAGTCGAGTTCAGGAAGAGGGTGAGTGGAGGGGCTGTGCATTGCTGGGGCATTTTGGAGGGCTCCCCTGCCCTGTCCGTGCATCCCCCCTGCCCTGTCCGTGTGTCCCCAGATGGAGCAGGAGGTGTCCCAGTTCATCCAGGCCACGGGGGAGCCCCGACGCCGCTTCCAGCCCATGACCAAGATCGAGAGGAGCATCCTGTGAGCACTGGGGAAACTGGGAGGAACTGGGGAGGCACTGGAGGTACTGGGAGGGCACTGAGGGAGTAGTGGGGGGACACTGGGGCGGTACTGGGGGCATACTGGGGGCACTGGGAGGGCACTGGGGACACTGAGGGTGTACTGGGGCAGCTGGGGAGGGCAGGGACCCCCCCAGGGCCCCCCAGTGCCAGCAGCTCCCCGCTGTCCCCTCAGGCATGACGTGGCTGAGGTGGCCGGGCTGACATCGTTCTCCTTCGGGGACGACGAGGACAGCCGCTACGTGATGGTGTTCAAGAAGGTGGGGGACGGCTGGGGGGTGTGCTGGAGGGGACAGGGCCCGGTGTCCCCCCTGGGTGTCCCCCCTGGGTGCTGGCTGTCCCCTCGGGGTTCCAGGGGAGGTGACAGAGCCCCGGTGACCCCGCTGTTCCCCCTGGTGTCCCCGTCCCCCCCAGGAGTTCGCACCCTCGGACGAGGAGCTGGAGGCGTACCGGCGGGGGGAGGAGTGGGACCCGGCCCGGGCCGAGGAGCGGCGCCGCCTCCGGGTAGGCGGGGCTTAGAGTGGGTGGGGTTTAACTGGGATATGGGTGGGGCTCAGCAGGGCGTGGCCACGTGAGTGGGGCATGTATGGGTGATGGAGGGAGGGGTTATGGGTGGGGCATGGGCTTGGTGGGTGTGGCCCGGGTAGGCGGGGCTTAGTGTGGGTGGGGTTTAACTGGGATATGGGCAGGGCCCAGCAGGGTGTGGCCAGGTGGGCAGGGCATGTAGGTATGATGGGGGAAGGGCTTACCTGGGTGTGGTGTGGGCTCAGTGGGTGTGGCCCTCGTGGGCGGGGCTTGTTGCTGACTGCTCACCTGCAGGACCTGGCGGCACAGCAGGAGGAGGCGGAGCTTGAGTCTGGCCCCGCCCCCCCGGGCCCCCCCAACGATTACAAGGACAAATACCGGCACCTGATTGGCTGCGAGGCCGCCAAGGCCGCCGCCCGCACCATGGAGGCCAACAAGGCCTACGGCTGTGGTGAGAGGGGGGTCTGGGGGCTCCTGGGGGTATCCATGGGGCTTGGGCAGCCTGGGGGGGCTGGGGGGGTCGCTGAGGGTCCCTCCCGTGCCCACAGTGCCCATGGCCAACAAGCGGGGTCCCGTGGAGGTCCTGGGGGTCTCTGGGGGGCTTGGGGGGGTCTCTGGGGGGGTTCTGGGTGTCTGGTCCTTTCCCCAAACACCTGTGCTGTGCAGGGGTGTCTGGGGGTCTCTGAGGGTCCCTGCTGTGCCCCCAATGCCTGTGGCCAACAAGAGGGGTCTCTGGGGGATTTGGGGTGTCCGGGGGGTCTCTGAGGGTCCCTGCTGTGCCCCCAGTGCCCGTGGCCAACAAGAGGGACACGCGCTCCATCGAGGAGGCCATGAACGAGATCCGGGCCAAGAAGCGCCTGCGGCAGGCGGAGGATGAGGGGGGGGCCGGGGGGGGCGCGGGGGGGCCCTGTGTGTAATGGGGGGAGGGGTGGGGGGGCTGACCCCCTCCCAGGGGTATTTAACAGCGGGGGGAGGGGTATGGGGCTCGCAGAGGGGGTGATAAAGAGCCTCATTCTCCTGTCATGGTGCCCGTGTCTGCTTTGGCGGGGCGGTTTTTGGGAGGGGGGCACCCCCACATCCCAGATTGTGTGTGTGTGTATCCCACTCCCCAGAAAAAGCATGGGTCAGGAGCTCCTGGTACTTTACAAAGGTTTTTGGGGTGTAGGGAGCCCCTTGGTGGGGGGGCAGGATGACCTTCTCCCTCCTTCTTGGCCTTGGGGGGTTTTGTGCCCCCCAACTTGGCCCTGGGGGGTTTTGTGCCCTCCCAGCTTGGCCTCCCAGTTCCATCAGAGGCCCTCCCAGTTCCGTCTCAGTGGCCTGCAGTGCCTCCTCATCCTGCTCGGTGTCACTCTCCTGCCTCCCAGTTCCATCCCTGGGGTGTCCCGGCCCCAGATCCTTCCCGAGACCTCACACTTGGATGCACCTTAGCCAAGGGTCCATGGGCATCCGGGCCCCAAGACCACCCCTCCAAATCCCTCTCCTTCCACGGGCAGAGGGACCCTGGTGCCCCCCCTCCACCTCCTGCCCTTTCCCACCCTTCCCCCACTGACTTTTCTGCAATTACCAGAAATTCGTGATGTGACCCCAAAACCCCATCACCTCCTGCCCTGGGGCCCTCCGTGTCCCCAACACTCCTGAGCGTGTCACCACAACCCTGAGCCCCCTGCACACCCCCAGGACCGCCCCTCACCCCAGCACCCTCCCTGCCCCTTGGCTGTGAACAAATCTCTGAGATTCCCGTGGGAATCCGGGGTCTCCTGGGTAGATTTGGGGGGCCCCGGGGTCAAGGCCAAAGTCCTGGGGGTCCCAGCCCAACCCTGGACCCCAAAGACCGTGCCCAAAAATGGGGAGAACCCCCCATGTCCAGTGCCCTGAGCTGACCCCAAGCCCTCCCCCCCATCCCACGGGGGACCCTCAGCGACCCCAGACCCCCCTCAATTCCCGGGACACCCAGAGGGGCCCGGGGGGATTCGGGCCCTTCCCACCAGGTGCTGCCCCCCCCGGAGGGGACCGGGGTCCCATTCAGCCCCCGCCGGAGCAGGGAGAAAAGGGGCGGAGCCACTTGAGGGGGTCCCCACGTGTCGCCCCCGGGTCTTGGACTGTTTTTAGCCCCCCTCAAAGGATAACGCGACCCCCAGCCGGGGGGGCTGCAGCGCCGCCCGAAGGCGCTGGGGGGAACAGCAGCCCCAGAGGGGAGGGAGCAAGCCAGGGCGGGGGGGCTCACGATTTTGGGGGTGCAAAAGGTCCTTTTGGGGGGGGGAGCTCAGCCCCTAAGGAGTCCCAGGGGTGGGGGAGGGGGGAGCTGAGCCCCATGGGCCCCACAGTGGAGGAGGGGCAGTGGCTTTGACCACTTCTCGGGGAAGTTCTCGCCGGAGGGGGGGGGCGGGGCCGGTCCTTTTGTGGTGGGGATGGAAGGGGCACCCCACGAGGCCTCGACCTCCGCCCCAGCCCCGTTCTGGGGGTCCCGGTACCCTCGGCCCCCCTCGCGGGAGGAGAGATGATCCCGAGCTCCTCGGTCCCCCCCCCCCCTCCGCTTTCCCCGTCCTCAACCGCCGAGCCCCTCCCCCACCCCGGGGCAGGAAGTGAAACCGCTGCCCCTCCCCCCGGAAAGTCCCGCCTGGGTCTGACTCAAACTGAGCCCCGCGGGGGGAGGGGCGGGGGTCCCGCGCCCCCCGACTCACACCGAGCTGTCGCGACCTCCCCCCCCCCCCCCAGCGACCCCCTCGAGAGGCCCAGAGCGGGGCGTGGTGTCGCGATAAGGGCGTGTGTGTATCACGGAATAACCGGGAATCGCGATATACAGGGAGGAGGCGCAATAACGAGGGATTCGTTATCAGTCTGGGGGGGTCACGAAACCCGTGGGGGTGTCGCGATAGCGAGGGAGGGGGTCGGAATAACAGGGAAGAGGGGGCACAATAAAGGGTGTGGGTCGCGATAATGGGGGGGATCCGATTTACGGAAGCGAGCTCCGGGATACTGAGGGAGGGTTCGAATTTCGATGTATCGTGATAATCGCGGGATGCAGAATAGGAAGGGTCTGGATTGAGGGGGGGCGGCGGGCGCACCGGGGCAAGGGCTCGCGGGGAACGGGAGCGCCGGGATCACGGTAACGGCGCGGGCCGGGCCATCGCCGGGGGGCGCAATGGGCGGGAGATGTCCCGATAGTGAGGGGAGGGTCGCAATAAAAAGCCCCTCCATTCCCCCCCCCCCACCCCCCCCAAAGCGGCGCGCGCCCTCGGCGGCACGCGGGACGTTCCGGCCCTTGGCTCTGCCCCCTTTAGCCCCGCCCCCTTGAGCCCCGCCCCCTGCGGCCCCTATGAAAACCGCCGCGCGGCGCCGCCGCCGGTCCTCCGCCGCCGCCGCGCCTCGACCGCACCGCGCAGGCGCCCAGCGAAAAGCCCGCCCCTTTCCCCGCCGAAAGCCCCGCCCCCCCGCGGAAGGCCCCGCCCCCCGCGCCCCACCCGCCCGCCCCGCCGCCGCCATGAGCGGGTGGGCGCCCTACGTGGAGACGCTGCTAGCGGACGGCACCTGCCAGGATGCCGCTATCGTCGGCTATCGCGACACCCCTGCCGTCTGGGCCGCCGCCCCCGGCAAGACCTTCGCCAATATCACGGTGAGCGGCGGGCGCCGGCAGGGCCGGGGGGGGGGGGGGCAGCGCGCTGAGGCGTTTCCCGCCCAAGCGCGCGGAGGGCGGGGGGACCCGGCGGCCTCTGAGAGGCGGGGCTGACCCCCCCACCCCTCCCGCGACGGGCTCCGAGAAGGACAAAAAAGGGAGAAAAACGCAAAAGCGCCAGCGTGGAGCGCGGCGGGGCGGGGGATGGGGGGGGGGGGGGGGGCTCGGGCGCTGCCCACGGTGCTGGTACCGGGAGAAGGCCGGTACCGGGGGGGCCCTGCAGGCCGGGGAGGGGCCCAGCGGAGGGGCAGCCCCCTCCTCAACCCCGCTCCGAGCGTTTCGGGGGGTCGCAGTTGGGCGGGGAAGGGGGGGATGGGCGAGCACCACGTGCTCCGGCGACCTCCGTCCCCGGTTCCTGTCGCTTTTATGGCTCTGCCGGGAGCGGACGGCGGGGGTCTCGTGGAGGGGGAGGTGGGGATGTGGAGGAACCCCTCCTCACTTAAAAACCCTCTAAAAATGCGCGGAATGCGGCCACTTCCCGGTGGAGGAGGGGCGGCCGGGGCTTCCTGTGGGGGAGGGGCGGCGCGCGCGCACCCCCCTCCCCCCCTCCCCACTTCCCCCCACGGAAATTTGGGGGGAGGGGAGAAATTTGGGGAAGCCCATGGTGGGAAAGCGGGGGCTACCGAGCTCTGGTCCCTGTCTGGGGTCACGGGGGAGTTACGGGGGTCCCCGGGATGGGGGGGGCACCCCAGGGACGTAGTCGGGGCTCATTGGGGTCCCCCGGGTCTCGGTGGGGGTGTCTGGGTTCGGTGTGGGGTCCCGGGGCTGTTCGCTTTAGGGCTCCTTTCTGGGGTTCCTGCGGGGCTGCTTTTGGGGTTCGTGACCTGTTCTTCCCCGTGGCAGCAGCGGGTGGAAGTGCTGGCCTTGGAGGGCTTGGAGGGTCCCGAGTGCTGCCCTTGGAGGGTCCCGAGTTTGGGGAGGTTTGGGGGATCCCTGGATGCTCGGGCCCTCTTGTGGGGACCCGTCGGGGATCAGGGTTCTCTCATGGGGTCTTTGGCGGGAGTCACGGGGGTCCCGGGACACCTGGGTCCCTTTTATGGTCATGGAGTGGGAGTTATGAGAGTCCCTGTTTGCCGAGCGCCCTGCAGGGGCCCTGCCCGGGGCTTTGGCTTTGGAGGGTCCCTGGGTGAGGGTCTTTGGGGTTCCCCTGACCTGTCCCCACCCCATCCAGGCTTTGGGGGTTTGGGGATCCCTGGGTCTGGGTCTTTGGGGGTCCCCTTGGCCTGTCCCCACCTCTGCAAAGTGACAGGCTGTGATCAGGGGGGCTACAGCAGTTCCTCACGGGTGGCTCTGGGGGTACGAGCTCTGTTTCTGGCGGTTCCCCACGCGTGGTTTGGGGGTCCGGGCTCCGTTGCTGACCCCTGTCCCCACAGCCAGCGGAGGTGGCGGCGCTGGTGGGCCCCGAGCGGGGCCCGCTGCTGGTGCAGGGGCTGACGCTGGGGGGGCTGCGCTGCTCCGTCATCCGCGACTCGCTGCTGGTGGAGGGCGAGCACAGCATGGACCTGCGCACCAAGGGGGCTGCTGGAGCGCCCACCTACAACATCACGGCTGCCATCACCAACAAGAGTGAGGGACCCTGCTGCTGACCCTGTCACCCCTGAAACTGCCCCTTGTCACCCCTGCTGCTGGCCCCTGTCACCCCTGAAACTGCCCCCTGCCGCCCCTGCCACTGCCCCGTCACCCTTGCAACTGCCCCATGTCACCCCTGCCCACCTCCCTGTCACCCGGTGTCACCTAACCAGTTCCTGTGTCACTGCCCCCCACCTCTGTCACCCCATGTCACCTCGTGCCCACCTCCCTGTCACCCTGTGTCACCTCCCTGTCACCCCATGTAACCTCCTGTCCTTCCAGTCCCTGTCACCCCCCATGACCCCAAGCCTCCCATGTGTTTTATGCCATCACAGTGTCACCCCGTGTCACTCCCAGCTCTTGTCACTCCCCGCTCTTGTCACTCCCCAGGTGCCCCCCCCCTCCCCCAGTACCACCCTGTGTCCTCTCCCCTGCACAGCCACGTCACCTGCCCTGTCACCTCTGTCACCCCTGCCCTGCTTGCCGTTCCTGTCCCCCTCCCCTTTGACCTACAAATTACCCCGTGCTAACTCCTGCCATCCCTCCACCCCTGCCCTGTCTGTCTGGGGAGCCTTGGGGTGACCCCAACCTTGTCCCCTTCTCCCCTTTGACCCAGATCCCCACAACCTACCCTGTGCTGACTCCTGCCATTCCTTCATCCCTGCCCTTTTGCCC